GGACATTTTCAAATGCATGCTCAATCCCACTGTGTCTATCAGATATTATGCATACACGACGATTTGGGGGAACGACATGACGCATGACATTCGTCAAGAACCATTTCCAACTTGGACCATCTTCAGCATCAACAATGGAAAAAGCAAGGGGAAAAATTTCACCATTTCCCGTCGTTGCCATGGCAAGTAATAAACATCCCTTATACTTGCCGTATAAGTGAGTTCCATCTACTGAAATAACAGGAAGACAATAGTGAAATCCATCTATGGATGCCCTAAAGGACCAGAATACATACTTGAACTGAAAAGAAGTTGGTGAATCAGTTGACATTGTTTGTAAATCAACAATAGTTCCATGGTTTGACCCCATAATTGCACTGAGCAAGGGAGCCAACTTATTGTACGACCCTTCCCAGCGACAATGGAATGCCATCAACAGGCAATCCAAGTAAAACCTCAACATCTTGTAGCGTAATTCCCACCTCTCCAAAGGGAAGATGGAATGAATGGGTCTCGGGTCTCCATCTCTCCACTAAAGAAGTGATCAGAGCCCAATCTAACTGTAATCCACCCACTTTCTCCACCCCATAAAATCCATAATCTTGTAAGATCTCTATAACACGAGGTGGTCTATTAGCAACAAGAGTCCTCAGATATATACTAGAACAAGTCCTATGGCACTTTAGACTTTTTTTGGCATATTCTTCGTCCCCCAAACCGCATCACACCTATGTACTCCGCCTTCAAGAACTAAAACGTCTCGTGAAATAGGTCCCGGATGAACATCCATTTGCTTTAAAGATTACAACATAACAATTGTTGAATATCAAAATTTAAAAATTATCTTACAATATCAAAATTTAAAAATTACCAAATTTTTATGAATATTTAAAGAATCAAATTCAAAATCTTACAAACTAATAACATATATCAATCAATCAATTAGAATAAGGCAATTCACCCCAATATATATAATAAATCTAAATATTATTATAAAATGAAAAATATTTATATATATTAAGTAAAAAATAAAAATACCTCCATGAAACGGAGTAGCCTAATCCGTCTCTGGTCGGCCGGCGTTCTCCCGGCGTTCCCCTCTCTGGTCGGCCGGTGTTCTCCCGGCGTTCTCTCTTGGCGGCGGATCGGCGCTGGAATTTTGTGATGCAGGGCTGCTGGAATGGGTGGACGGAAGGGGAAGGGGTGAGGGTTATCCGTAGGGAGACCGAGTAGCCTCCGTCTGGATTGAATTTAAAGAGAAACGGATTTGGCTACTCCGTTTAGTATTTTTTTTTAAATTAGATGAAACGGATTTGGCTAATCCGTTTGGAATAAAAAACCGGGTGGAAACGGAGTAGCCAAATCCGTCTTGCACTGTAAGGAAAAAAATCCCTGACTTACACTGCCAGGAATCGATTTTTATTGGGTTAGATATGTTGGTAAATTACTCTCTAAAGTACTCCGTAAAAAATAACAAAAACGACGCCGTATCGATCAAGGCGCCGTCGTTGTAACTGGACTGCTGAAACCTTAACCCCTTCCCCTGCCAGAAGTAATCCGGAAGACGCAGCGCGGCAGCGGGGTCGTCATCATCTTCTTCCTCAACCAGAAAACCAATGCAGCGTCACTCTCAACCTCCAAAAAAGGCAACTTTTGGAGGAACTAAAACGTCTCGTGAAATAGGTCCCGGATGAACATCCATTTGCTTTAAAGATTACAACATAACAATTTATTTATTTAATAACAACTCATTTGTTTCAAACATTACAACATAACAATTGTTGAATATCAAAATTTAAAAATTATCTTACAATATCAAAATTTAAAAATTACCAAATTTTTATGAATATTTAAAGAATCAAATTCAAAATCTTACAAACTAATAACATATATCAATCAATCAATTAGAATAAGGCAATTCACCCCAATATATATAATAAATCTAAATATTATTATAAAATGA